ATATATATATATATTACTTATGAGTGTAATTTAATGGGCATGTTTGTTATAGTATGATGTTTGTATGTATGTACTGTATAATATATATGCATGTATTTGTGTAACAGTGCTATTTATTAGGTTAGACACATTAAATGAATATAACCCATGTTATTGCTCAATTTACTTTTTCCATTTTAGGGATTTAATTATCAGCGAGAATACATTGCTTGTCAAGGTAATACTATCACCAATTTCTGTATATGAATGCAATGTCGACAAAAATTGTGCCATATTTTAAGCATCAATATATTTAATATTATTGTTATTAATATAAGAAAAATATTAAATTGAATAAACATCATGCATAATATATTATTCTTATTTATAATTAGGCTTGTATATTATGTAAAATATATCTGTGTCTCGTATAGGTCCAAATACTGCTAGTGTGAATGACATGTGGAGGATGATTGTTCAGGAAAATGTTGTTATCATTGTCATGGTAACGAACCTTGTGGAAGGCAAGAGGGTAAAAGATTTCAGCAAATGTTTAATTTATGTATTTGATCGGTTTAGTTTAACTAATTCTGGCATTGTCAACAGGAGTCTGTCATTTTCCTAGTGTAGCTCACTATGGCGTGGAGTGTTGACATGGGGAGGGGGAGATTGATGAATAATAAATGTTTAAGTGGGGGTCTGATATGATGCAATGCGCCAGCGACAGATTCGTGAGGCAGGCGCGGGACGTGTCATTCTGTTGAAAACACTGCTATAAAAATGTATCTTTACAGTCTGAGTGTGCCATTCTTGGAATCTACAAGTGTCTAGTTTAAAAGTTTGCTCAATGCGGCTTCTTTTTGTGGTATTGGACCCCTTGTCGGGAAAATTTCTAGCTCTGACATTGTTTTTAACTACCGAGCACAAGAATGGATTTCTTTTATGCTCTGAAAACCAGTTTTTATCCCCCACCCTTTCCAATGCTGCTGCATTTCCTCAATTTTACAAAAAAAGTTGATGTTAAAAACCTGTGCTACTAATAGGCCTATTTAGGAAGACATGTAGGCCTATGAAAGGGAATGGGTAGGGCTGACATTGAAACAAACGGAAGGTATACAATAAAATTTATGTGGGCTGACCGCTGGTCTCCATAGATTGAAACTGGCCACCAGCTTATAAGGTTGAATACCTGGGTGATATACTATACAGCTTAATAATTATCAATGCCATGGAAAATGTAATAATTAAAATACTGTTAAAATCATTATTCATTATTGATCAGCTCACTGGCTTCTTGCTTTTGAGCTGGAATGGTCAGCCTCGTTAAATATGATGGAAATAAAAACTAAATAGATAAAAATCACAATTAGGATTACACAGTATGACGATACCTTGAGAAACACATTGTTATCAATTGAAATACAGTAACCAGTAACCGAAATGGAGGACGTGTGTATGTGTCCCGATGGGGAGATTTTTTTGGGGAAGACTTTATTTCCCCCATCTAACTACTACTATCTAACATCAAAAACAAGCAATTCAGTTCAATTCACAGATTATTACAACATGAACAACTAATTCACAATTTATAATTACAGACTAAATGCCAAAAATACTGGCCAGATATTGGTTGTGGACAAACATATGTTAATATTGTCGTCACGAACATGGATGAAAGTGATCATGGCTACTACACTATTCGCAAGTTCAAGGTAGGCTGCGTGCATATTTATTTTTCCTTCAATAATATATAAACTAAAACAATGGGCATTTCTACTAGTTGTATTGTATTGTTGCAATTGGCTTTCACAGTATTTCATATGGGCCTATATTTATATAGACATCATTATGTCCAACCTAACTATACCAAACATATTATTTAGGTTGACATCCAAGAGATGTCGCGTGAGGTGTGGCAATACCATTTCACTGACTGGCCTGACAAAAGTGTTCCACCGGTAGTCACCCCTCTGGTCGAGTTTATCTACGAGTTTAAAGAAGCGAAAAAGGTCTTGCCGAGTAGTACTGGACCTTATGTAGTCCATTGCAGGTAATACATAGGCCTACTTTTTGTCTTAACTAAGTTATGTGATTTACAACAAAACAAGGTAAAATGGATTTACTCTCTAAATAAGAACCTTAAAAACAATCTCCTGTTACACTTCTTAGTAAAGAGGTTACTCCCCATAAAATATGATTGCTGCCATCAGTCGTTAAATTTTATGTGACATTTTGGTCATCTTTAGTGGGTTCAAAAAACAAGGTCTTCAAATCTGTTCACGAACATAGATAATTATTTATATAAAAAACAATCAGATTTTTGTTAATCAAATCAAATTTCACTCTGTTGCAATCATACCAACAAAACATAAGTTTAAGAAAATATTATATATTCCTATATGTATGGTAGAAATAGAACAGTTTAATTAATAATAGGTCAGAAAAGATTATTATTATTATTATTATTATTATTATTATTATTATTATTATTATTATTATTATTATTATTATTGTTATTATTATTATTATTATTATTATTATTATTATTATTATTACTGTTATTGTTATTATTTTTACTGATAAAGTGCCGGAGCCGGGAGAACTGGAACAGTTATCACGATCGACGCCATGTTGGATATGGCAGAACGCACAGAAACAGTGAATGTGTTCAATTTTGTCAGGAACATGAGAGAAAATCGCGTTCAGATGGTGCAAACTGAGGTAAATTTACTCGTTTGTATTAATTTGTCACAATTATAAAGTGGCTCATGATTAAAATAACAATATTGAATTTCTTCAATAACCAATCAGAATCACCGATTGTGTATATGCCTATTATTGTTAGTCATGGTATCGCTGATTCAAATACAGTTTGTCCAATCGTTTAATACAGTTTGTCCAATCGTTTAAGACGGTTTATTGTCCTTAACTTACCTCAATATCTAGCAGTCACTTCAGGACTTATTCCTCCCCAGAGCATAGGCGTAGATCCCGGGAAGGATAGGGGGATATATTCCCCCCCACCCATATTTGACAAGGGGAATGGTTCATTGTATCATCCCCCCCCCCCAATATTTTGACTATGTATGGGATAAATTTGAGATTTACACACTTCAAAAGACTGTCACAGAAATAATTTGCACTGTCTTATGCGCTTACAAAGATGAAAATTATCATAATGTATTAATGTTGATAACAAAATTATTTCATCTGGTACCAATCTAAGTTCTTCTTTCCTTAGATGATAGATGTGCTTACAAAGAGAGCCACATTTCACACTGAAGGGTACGGCATCAGTAAGAATGTTTAAGGTTATATCGGTTGATGAGGAATTTATTGATTAGGCCTATAATAGCAAATTGCATCAATTTATTTTGCAAAAACAAGGTTTCCAGCTTCAGAGGGGGGCACATCCCCTGTCCGCACAAGGGCACACATTGGCGATAACACCAGGCGCGTAACAGGGGTCTTGGGTCAGAGTGGGTATTTATTTTCCCGGTTAGTAATTTACCATACCCACCCCACCCCATTCCCCATACAGAAAACAATACGACATAGGGCTTATCTTATTTAATATAGGCCACACACGTGTGTTTGAAACTAAATATAAGCATTTTCATCATGGTTTTATTTATTACAAACATATTCTTTCACCATCAATACACATTGAGGTCCTTCTTTTTGGTTAAAACGATCTATCTTAAATTTGTCTTTCTTGAGTTTGGAACTATTATGTGTTTAAATAACTTAAAAGGATAAACCTAAAAAAACCCTAAAAAATTCGCGCGAAGCGCGCAAAATCTTTTTGTTTTTTAAATTCTAATTTCGTCTGGATTGATGAAAACTCCCTAAAATTTGCAATTTATAGAGGAAATTGGCCTACCGTAACAAGGAATGCGCGCAAAGAATTTGAGAATGTTAGACACTTTCAGAGGATGCATTTGTCAAGAGTTGGGGAAAGATTTTCCAAAGATGGATATTTTCCCCTCTTGTCCCCCGGTGTCTTTAATTCTAATTTCGTTGGAATTGATCAAAACTCCCTACAATGTGCACATTTTAGAGGAAATTGGCCCATCTTAACAAGACATGCGCACGAAGCGCGCGAAATTTGATGTTTTTAGGCACTTTCAGGGGATGAAAAGGGCATTTATAAAGGGGTGGGGAAGATTTTCCAAAGATAGATATTTTCCCCTGGTCCTCCAGTGGTTACGCCATCGGGCAGCATAGACCAAAGGAGTTATGACAGCTTTTGAAGTGGACAAGGGGTTGCAGGGTGTTGTGAGTCTGGTCATTATGATATATTCCTTTTTATTCTTGTTTATTTTTCTCTTCTCTTTTTCTTTTCCTTTCCTTTTCTTTTCCTCTTCTTTCTCTTTCCCTCCCTCTCCCCTCTTTCT